AGGGATAGAAATATTTCCCACTCTGGGAAGAATCTTGTTATCTTTCAAACATTTGATGTTACTTTCTAAATAAAAACAATGTTAAATTACTGGAATGGTTTCTTTCACACTTGTTATTACATACCTTAAAGTTTCGTCAAGACATTGATCTACATAGTATCACCACAGAGGAGAAAAATACTTTTTATTATTATTTTTATTAAATATCTTAGTAAGTGTAAAATCTATTTTAGGCATTCTTGCCTAGTTTTAGGAATGGAATTCAGCTCTAAAGCAACTATAACAAACCATATGTGCAGCAGACATTTTAAATTTCCACTACAGAGAATGAGTATCTGGTCAATACAGCCAGTAGAATCAAGAGAAAGTTGACCCCAGAGGCATGGCTCAATTTCATGTTTAAAACATTAGTTTAGATTTCTGTACATCTGTATGTGAACTAGGGAATTTATTTAGTTGCTTCCATGAACTTATATAATGACATTTGAGGCTGTTTCCATATCTCAGACCCTCTAGTAGGCACCTCTTCCTCATCTTTGTCTGCTCATCCAGATTTGATTTCAAGAATTCTTTGGTAACTGATGTATCTACATGGGTTGGCAACTGCAGTCCAGCACTCTTCAATGGACACTGGATAATTCATATAGACCATTCTTATGTGTGTAGCTGAATTCAGTTTCAACCCAGGAAGAATCAATGAGTCTGTGAGTCAGCAGGCTGAATAACCAGGTTAAGTCCTCTCTTCTGTGGCATCTGAAAACATGCTTGTACATAGCTAGGGACTGTCAAAGCTGGAGACAAAAAATGGAGGGATGCTAGCCCCCATTCCATAGTCTAATTGTAATTGAAACAGAACTGAATGAATGAAGCAGCATACTTACCTGAATCCCTTTGTAGATCATTCTGAAGTTGTTTCACTTTCAGTGAATGGTAAACACTTCCCTCAGTTAGGGACCTCTGCTTGTATTCTCACTGAAATTTTATTTACAAGGGGGGCTAGAGGGCTTGAATTTAATTGGTGCTGAACAGTATTAATTAATATCTGTAGCTTAGTACCTGGCAACTGTAGAAAATAAATGTAATTTTTGAAAATGTGAAATTCTGTCCTTATGCTGCAGGGAAACATTTCACAGAGATGGAAAGATGGAAAGCTGTTTCATCAGTTTTACCTCATACATATAAATTATGGAGTTTTATTTTTATAATCTTTACTTGACGCTTTACTGGATATTGTCAAGAATAACTTTTTTTTTTTTTTTTTTTTTTTTTTTTTTTGTGTTTCCTTGATTTCTTTTTGTTCATTTTATTTTTTGAGGGAAGAATATTAGGCTTTCCCCATATTTAGGCTATGGGATCTGAGGAATGATGACAGTTCATTTGCCAGTGATGGGCCATCTTTTCCAGCTCCATATGCTTATTTGAGGCCTCTCTGCTTTGGGAAGTGTACAGACTGTGTTACTTAGCAACCACCCTCCCTTTTCTTTGTGAAGAGGGTGCTCTGCGCATGCATGAGCATCAGTAATCTGGTTTGCAGACCACAGAAGGCCCTGATGTGATACAGTCAGCCAAAGTGTATACAGAGATATTTTGCACATGATTAATCCACTGCATCTCAGTGCAGACAAAATCTCAGCCAGCTTCTTTTGATGTCCTGTCTCTGAGTTGAAACTATTTGAGATTACTGTATTTAGTTTGATGGGAAATTTGGGGAAATATTATGTCAGCAGTGAATTCTTAGTCCGTGCTTTCTAAAGAACATTTTACAAACTGCATGAAGTTTTTCTGAAGTATCCACGTTGTTTTTCAGAACAGAGGAAAGTGCAAAGAATGTACAGCCACAGAGGGAGAGTAACTGCTATGTCAAAAAAAAAAAAAAAAAAGACCCTGAAAAATAGTGATTTAATTGATTATTAAAAAGGACAGAGACCTCAAATGATGATTTTTTTCCCCCTCTGCTTTCTTGACAGACGTATACATGAAGAAACAGATAGTTGGCTGTATTTGTGTTTGTGCTACCTATCTGGGTGTGTACGAGTCGGCTGGTGCTGATGGCTGTAAGACGTACACTAGATGGTGCTTGCACAACACAGGGAGCAAAAAGTACGTCTGTCTCAGAATGTGTTAGGAACTCAATACTCCACCTCTTTCTCGAGTATTTTCTGGGATATGCACTCTGTTCCATGATGTGGAATCATGTAATTTAGTATAGAAGTTTCATGATTGTAGTAAGAAACTGGTTATCTGCTATTTCAGTGATGAATGCAACAAAGAAATATAATCATTCACTTGCATATTTGTTTATATACTTGCATATGCCTATGCATACACTCAGTCTTCTCAATTCCAAATGTCTAAATACAGAAGAGAAACATTTTCTATCATGTTTTGAAAAGCTACACTTGCACTGAACAGAATAGAAAGGAAGGTTTCTGTACAAAATGTTTATACAACATCCACCACCACAGGATTCTTACACAGTGTGTAAAATCTAAGATGAAATACCAGGAGTTAGGGGGAAAATAATATTATTAAAAGAATGTGTATCTTTCATATTTCAGCAAATTTTATCACAGGCAATCAAAATAACAGAGAAAATAATAAGAAAAAATAATCTGGATGCTCAAGGAAAGTCTTTCTGTGAACTATATATATATATATATATTTGTTTATTTATGAAACATATGGAAAACTAAAAGAAAATCTGAATCAATAAATTCTATATTATCATGTGCCCCAATATTTGTTCATATTTAGACTAAGGATGTCCCAGATTTCATTAATAATAGTAATTATTATCATTATTATCTCTATCATCACGAATTGTTTACAATCATACAAGCCTCATCACATGCAATCCTAGCTCAGCTAGGATTGATAACCAAGTAAGCTATAACTTATGCTTACTCTTGTGAATTGTTTTTAAAGCCCAGGCATAATAACATATTGTGATAGTTTAATATCCCAGTTAAACATATTTTAACCTATATTTGTATAAGGGTTTTTTATTTCAACTGTATCAAGTGTCTTAAATACCTGGAAAGGGGTCTAAAATTAAATGAAATTGTTTTCAGTGGGTGTACATTTTGAGAAATGAATTGTGAATGGAGAAAGATAAGTGATTAGTAAGGATGGCAGAGGGAAGACTTGGCAGGAGGAAAGAAGTTGAGCTATTTGTGAAGTGGATTGGTGCCAGTTTGTGAACCTAACATTTCCAAATCAAACTGTATTGACAAAACACACCTAAAAGCAAAGCAAGTTGACTCATAGAACTCTGTTTGAAAAGGAAACAATGGTAAATTATTCTCCATGCTTTTTAAGTGACTTAAGAAGTAAGGAAGTATAAGGTAGTGGATATAGTTATATCCACATGAAAGAGATGGGTAGGTACATGTAACAAGACAAATTGCTGAAAGTGCTACAGAAGGAGAAAAGAATAATTAATATTAGCCAAAATATTTTCAGTTCTAAGACTAGGCAAGTGCTTTGATAATAGCGAGCTTCAATTCCTCAAATTTCCCTTTTTATTGTTCCAAGTGCCAAGAAGCTTCACTGGCTTCAATGTTAAACAAGAATATTCTTTGAAGTGGGCCAAGACATACCAGCATCCAAGCAGCCAATTGTGGAGCAGGGTGATTCCAGACTATGTCAGCATCTGGATTTTGTTATTTAGATGAAAAACAACACCTGTTTCCCATTTATGCAGCAGAATTAACAGTTGGGATTCAAAGTTGGCTGATACAGTTCCTTTTGAATCCAGAAGTCAGATGCCAGATGCTGGCTTTTGCAGCTCTGTTGCTCTATGATTTGTCCTGGGTTATTATAGTAGTCCTAATTTTGGGCAGTCCTGCTTTCTTTTTCTGTTTCTCTCAATTTCTCTCACCTGCCTGCCCATTACCCCTATCTCTCTAAATGTTCTTAGTGCAGACTGGGGGACTGATATGTAAATTTTGTAAAATCCAGACATATCTCAATAGATTCAGCTCTTTCCCAGACAAGCAGGAATATCAAGAGGAGAAGAGAAATATATTTCTAGAGTGAAGACTTAGGGTATTGTGTAGGGACGGGTGATAGGGAGAATCAAGGACAGGGAATGGGAGAATGCACATTGAGAGTTTTCGTGATTCAAAAAGAGTAAGTACATCACATCAGTCATAGCAGAAATACGTTTTTTCTGTTGGAGCCAAGGCATCTGGATCATCTGACCTGGCATCTCCTTCACATCACTGTAGCCCGTCCAGCTGATAGATAAATAAGCAGATAAATAGATCATACCCCAGAAAAACAGACACACCCGTGTATTACACAGGGTGCATTGAATCACAGCCATTAACATTCCTCTTTCTGTGTCCAACAGAGGGTGGGAGCTCATATCCTGCAGCAGGGCAGTTAAAATAATCGATGAGTGTGTGTTCAATCCTCAGAAAGACAGAAGGGGGGGAAGAGAGGAAAGAAGGGAGGAAAGGAGGGAGGGTGTGGTGGCTGTGAAGGGGGAGGGTGGGGGGGGCGGGGGGATGGGAGGTGGGAAAGGTGCTGATATCAGCCTTGTAGCGTCAGGATTGCGTCAATTTGGGTTTCAACCACGTCTTCAGTCTCGGAGCAGAGCTACTCAGAAGAACCAAAACAGGAAGGGGGTTGGAAATCAGTGCAAAGGGGAGGATCGAAGCTCCCCCTCCCCCCACTCCTTCAGCCCGATCACAGCCTCCTTCTTCACCTTCCCCACTGCTTGTGTCTCCGGGTATAAGGTTGTTATTTTTTCTTTTTTTTTTTTCTTTTCTCTTTTTGTTTGTTTGTTTGTTTGTTATACCACCGTGGAAAAAGCCTGCTGTCCTAGTGCTGCGAGAGAGCGACAAGTCGAGAAACAGCAGAGCATCACATTCGGCGCTCCTGGCAGGGGTCGGTCAGGAAGAGGGCGACTCCGCTAGCGCGAACAGCCGCGTCAGACAGAGGCTCCGGGACCACGGACAGCGGTTCCAGCACCGCGGACAGAGAGCACCACCAACATGGCTCCGATCGCGTCCAGCCACCAGCAGTTCGGTAAGTGCGTCCCGGCCACAACTCCCGGCTACGGATCATGCAGGCAGCCACTGCTGAGCCACCCTCGTGCCTCCCAGACTGCTGGGAGGAACCGAATTTCTTCTAGTTCTCTTTGATCCCAGAAGTTGTGTGAATTTGCTTTCTTCTCTTTCTCTATTCCTTTCCACCTAGCCATTACTTCTGGTAAATCAAAGAGAGAAAGAGAGGTTTGACTAGATGCATTTTTGGATTGAAGAGTTGGAATTGTTTTCTCTGTCTTGGTTAAAATATATTGGCTTCAGATTAAAATGCTGTAAACACATCTTGTGCCACAGAGAAAATCTTCATTAAAGCCAATCTTGGAATAGTTATAATTCCTTTTATCTTGTCATAGAGGAAGATTTGTAGACTGTTACCTAAAGTGAAATATAGTTGTGTAAAGAACACTACTGAGAAGATGGGAGTATAGTAACCCAGTGTTTTGGGCTAAATGTTCCTATCTTGATTTATCTCTATTTCTTGAGAATACCCATGATGACAAGGAACTTTTCAATTGTGTCATTTCTATACATTTACTGTAGCATGAATGACTGTGACTCTGCAAGTTTCAGAAGCAGTGATAATATGAAATAAATAGTGCTACTCATAAAAACTGTATGTGGAAATGTTTTGAAACTCTGCTTTACGAATACTGACTCTAGCCTAGATGTTATTTGCTTTACCAGTGGTTAAATTCAAGGATCATTCCTCTGACTTAGGTGAAATGACTTCAAATTTACATCACACAACTGAAATAATTTATCCCAGGATCAATAGGTGTTGTTCCCTGGTAATACATTGCTTTGAATGTTAACTGATTTACATTATGACAAATTGTTGTAATGTAATTAGTTGTGAGTATAAAAAATTTTAGTTATCTTCTTTTTTCCTACGTACCCCACCCATCTGATAATTCTAACAACACTCATGACATCATCCTTATCTAATTACTTATTTAAGGAAGTTAATTAATATTTTAAATACTAAATTGATTTTACCACTTCTTCCAGTAGCTGTAGAATAAAAACACAGCATGATTTCCATTACTATAAAAATTTTAAATGTAAACTCATGAAAAAGCACTAAAAATGTATAGATGATTCCTGAAAGTTATTTAAAGTATTCTGATTATCTTTCAATTACTCCTTGCTTTCTACCTTTGTTTCATATATATTTAAATTTCTACAGCTATGATAATACTTGAAACTCAGAGAAAAATTCTCAGCTTAAAAAAATATATATTTTTTAAAAATTTTGTTTGCCTTTTTCAGTCATTAATTGACTTCTTACAATTAAATATAGATTGATACAGCTTGTAAGCAGAAGTAAAGTGACATGTTTATTGTAAGAAGAAATTAATAGCAAGACCTTACAGTTTCTGTTCTGGAACATTTTGCCCTACTTTTCTTTGATAATATTATGTTGTGGGGTTTTGTTTTGTTTTGTTTTGTTTTGTTTTGTTTTTGTTTTTACTCAGACTAAAAGTTATGGTGGTAGCACATATATTAGACCAGGTTTTACCTAGATAAAGCATGTTTAGTAATGTGTACAGGAGGATAGTTTTGCTTTCCTTGTTCAAAATGATGTGCTAATTATTTGCTACAGGAACTGTAACACAATTGGATTTATGCAGAAACAATGTCATTCCATTAATATTCTACTAGTCTACTAGTTCAGAGAATAAAGATTAAGCTCTTATTGTTACACTGTGGGAGGTTTAAACTCACTTAGTCATGTTACTTATGGGCAAAATTGGATTTCCAATTAGTTGTGCTCATTTGCCCCTTCAATTGTGAATGGCTTGTGAAGGGCTAATGATTCAGTATGCTACTGAAGTATTCACATCACACTTGAGATTGAAACACCTGGATAGTTTTCACTTCACTCAGATTTTAATATAGGATTAATATCAAAATTACATTTTAATGTTTCTCTTACACACTCAGAAGAAGTGATCCGTCCTGTATGCTCTCCACAGCTTTGATTCATAGCATCTCAGATTCAAAGCTTAGTGGGTGTCAAAGATACACTGAAGAGTATTTCAGCTTTGGACTCACATGCAACTGCCAAATGTCACATCCATCTGGAGGGGACACTTGGCAGATAGTTATTCTAATTTTTCTTGACAGACTTTCTCCTGGAATGTATTGAAAATCCTCTTGAAACTCTTGAGTGTTACAACCTCCTGAAAAACTCAGTTTCAGCAGATACCTCCAGGCAATTATGAGATCAGACCATAAAACTGAGTTAGTTGAGTGTACAAAGCATTTTAGGAAACTGTGAAAAGCAGATGATATACCTATAAGTAACAGACATATCAGAATGCTTATATCTAAGAAATACAGTTCCATACACTCAAAGATCAAACCTTATCTGTTTTTGCTCGCTGACATATAAACTCAGAAATTACACACAGAGTGATGAAATAGCTGAGAAATTACTCATTTTAATTACTGTTGGGGTGGGAACTCTGTTTTCCTTCCAGACATCTTTTGTATGGAAAAATACTAACAGCATGGGACTACACATTTGCGCCTGCAGGTGGCGACCAATGCGTGCAACGCAGAGCACTTTCAGTCTGTCAACTGCTCCTATTACCATCTTGTATTAGTTTGCTTTGCTAAATTTACTATATATCACACAGAGTAGAAGAAAATGCTGCTTATTTGCTTGTTGCTGTTTATTTAACTTGCAGATGAAATTCCTACAGTTGTTGGGATCTTTAGTGCATTTGGCCTTGTCTTCTCTGTCTCCCTTTTTGCTTGGATCTGCTGTCAGCGCAAATCATCCAAATCCAATAAGACTCCTCCATATAAGTTTGTTCATGTTCTGAAGGGAGTTGATATTTATCCTGAGAATCTCAACAGTAAGAAGAAGTTTGGAGTAGATGATAAAAGTGAAGCAAAGAGCAAATCAGCAATGCCAAAGAATTCTCTTCATCTTGACCTGGAGAACAGAGATCTAAATGGCAACTTTCCGAAAACAATCTCTAAAATGCAGAGTTCTCCAGGCCCTGAAAATTCATCTTCAAAGCATTTTTCAGAAAAGAAGAAAGATATAGTTTCCCCTGATAGTTTAAAATCCACCATGTCCCTGTCATCTGAAGAAAAACAAGACAAGCTAGGAACTCTCTTTCTCTCTTTAGAATACAACTTTGAGAAAAAGGCATTTGTAGTGAGCATCAAGGAAGCACGTGGGCTGCCAGCAATGGATGAACAGTCAATGACTTCTGATCCCTACATCAAAATGACAATCCTTCCTGAGAAAAAGCACAAGGTGAAAACCAGAGTGCTGAGGAAAACCTTAGATCCTGCTTTTGATGAGACCTTCACGTTTTATGGGATCCCCTATAGCCAAATTCAAGACTTAACACTCCATTTTATGATCTTGAGCTTCGACAGATTTTCCAGAGATGACGTCATTGGAGAAGTCCTCATTCCCCTTGCAGGAACTGAATTGTCAGAAGGAAGGATGCTAATGGACAGAGAGATCATCAAAAGAAATGTTAGGGTAACATATTTCTTATTTAAAATTTAGAAGTGTTGTACTAGTTTAACTATAATATTTGAGCAATGTTAATAGCATCCTGGGAAAAGAAGGGAACAAGTTTATCAAATGAACTACTGAGATCTTTTCATTAGGGCAGAATAAGGAAACAATTTTACAACTATAATAAAATCAAGTTAAAATAAACATTTTGAAAGAAAATGTTAGAATTCTAAATTCTACTTGCTTAATCAGAGGGTCAGCAGGTTTTAGTGGATCCATTCACATTAGGTCAAGAGGCCTAAATTCATTTTAGTTTGCTTTGATGTGAAAGAATGCAAAAATTTATACATTATTATACTCTTTCTTCATCTTTCCTATTTTAAATCATGCTTTTTTTCCCTCAATGACTTTTAAATGAGCTGCATTTGTTCTAAAGATCCTAAGATATGAGGGAGATGTTAAAACCACAGCAAAGTCAGTGGAAAAACTTATTGATTTCACCAGGCTAAAAATATTTCATATTTTTTTGTCTCATTTCAGAATAGAAAGATCATTTACAACAGTCACAGAGCCATAGAAATGCATATGAATCATGTGCACTTCTTTTATTCTCTACTAAAAAGTAGCTTGTATATTGATTTTCAATTTGATTGTTTCCAAAGGTGAAGCACGCTGACAAATCAACTAAACGTCTGCAAGACATCACACCTATAACTAATATAGTTGTTTTGCAATTCTTTCATTATATTGCAATTATAACTATGTCACTGATATTTTGCTGATAAATTAGTGGATTTTCTGATACATAAAGTATTCTCATTTTTTGTTTCCACTGGCTCCATCCTTACTGTGAAATAAATGACTCTTTCACTAATGGGCTACATTAATTTTAAGACTAAAAATATTTTATTATTTTTCTTTTTGTGAATTACTTTTATTCAATTTGTTTTTCAACATTTTTTTTCACAAAGTTTCTTATTTATTTTTCTTAAGAAACTTTACTTACACTGAGACTTATTTTACAGGATATAGGATTTCATTTCTTATCTCTGAAGATAACAATACCCTACTATACATATTTTCACAACTTTATTTATTTCAAACTCTAATAGCAAGATATAGGAAGTGTTGTAGAACTGCAGTACAGGAAAGTTATATTTTGTTTGCGAAGCATCACAGCTCCATGAATTATATCTTTTGACACCAGTTTGAGATACACAGTTATGCAACACTGCAGAAATCCTATTCTATCTAGTTTCAAAGTTGGTGAACATAATTGCTCATAAATAGTTTTTTATTCTTTTTAATTTCCTCAGAAGTCATCTGGACGTGGAGAACTGCTGATCTCTCTCTGTTATCAATCTACAACAAATACACTAACTGTGGTTGTTTTAAAAGCCAGACATCTACCTAAATCTGATGTTTCAGGATTATCAGGTAATGTTTTCAGTAATGAATGAGCCTTAAGAATATAAAACAGACAGAAGACAGCTGAAATGTGACATTTCAAGGATTAAAAATAACCCAGAAATGAGGAAGTGGTGTCTGTATTATCTGCAGCCTACTCATCTCATTCATATCTAGGTAAATGTTTTATTTTTCAGAGAACATATATTAGAAATTTCTTCAAGCACATTAGGGAAAAATAAAAACAAAATACAAAGAAACATGACATTTATTGGAAGTGGAGACCAATGAGTTTTGTCATTGTTTATAACAGGATCCAACTGTCATAAGTAGATATTGCAGATGCTAAAACTTTTACATATGACAAAGAAATTTAGTTTATTATTAGCTAATCAATATCAAGTGAGATTCTTGTATGGAATATTTCAGCTTTGAATCCAAAAGTCAACAAATTACATCTGTGTTGAATTTAGTCCACTGGTATTAATGTTTATTTGGCAAGGTGAAAGGTGAACTACTTCAGTGCTTGGAATACACTAAAAAAGGAGTCTTTTTATAACTCCAGTCTCCTACTCTTGTACCATTTTGCTAATAATAAAACTTTTTTTGAAGCTGATGTTAGAACTGCAGTTAGGTGCATGCTAATGTCAGATAACTTATTAAAATTCAAAATAAAATATACTAACCTCCTGAAAAGAAGGCAAACACACACACTGAAAAACAACAGTACCCAACAGAGGACTTCAAACAGTAAATCATCTGTATTGAGTCCGTACAAGTCTTGATTCTTTTGATGCACAGGATATTTTGAAAGAAAGAGGAAGCAGTTTTTGTAGGCTTTTAATTTTAGTTACTGCAGCTAATAATACTGTACTTCTACTTCTCATATCAAGAGATATGGATGTTGAGATCTTCTAATAGGTCTAATAAAGTCAAAAGCAACATTCCAGTCTTATCAATTAGCCAAAAATAGCAGTCAAAAAATTTATTTCAAAAGAAATAGACAACTTCATTAATCTACTGATGGCTAGTGATTTTTATATTCTTAGACCTTGTGTGGTGTGTATTCATTCCAAGCTAATGAAAAAATTATAATAAATAAAACTTACTATTAAAAAAAAAAAAAATGTTCATTTTGTTAAGATGCATTTTTTGCACACTCTGCTCACATCAAACTGCTGTGAGTCCAAGCAGACAAAAACATTTTCATCATCTGACCACTTCATTCTGATAACTAGAGCATACATTTTCTAAATAAGGTTAAATTTTAATTTCACTTGGAAAAAAAAAAAAAAAGAAAAAAAAAGAGAAAAAAGAAAAAACATAATTGTTTCTTGTGTTTATCAGTGGACTGCTTACATAGACTATTTGGCTTGATTAACTTCCATAGACTGGAATTTTCATTGCATTTGAATCATTAGAATTTGAACACAAGTCCTCCTTTGCACTGAAATAAATGCATAAATAAATGAAGAATTAATGTACTTGAAACTGATCATTCCCACTATTTTTTTTTTTTTTAAATTCCTCTGAAGGAGAGATATAGCCATAATTGAAAACAATAGTTAAGGAATCTTGCAACACATTGTTGAAAAATTCTGAAGGATGCAAACGTTCAGTGTTCACTAACAATGTTAATATTATGGACTTTTTCTCTTCCCCTCCTCAGTAACATATAAAATATTTAAAGACAAACCACATACAGCCAGTAAATGTAATCTTACATTTGAAGTTTAGTTTTAAATTTATTTAGTAAAAAGATGTGGGAGAAATTTAATCAAGATAATTAATTTTGGTACAACCAAACCAGAAATAAATTATGTCCATTTTCTCAGCATAAGATTATTCTCTTGCTTTTGAGATTTTATTTTGTTTGATCCTTATTCACAGAATTGTAGGGGTTGGAAGGGACCTCCAGAGATCATCGAGCCCAACCCCCAATTAATTAATACTGGTGATTATTTTCTACTTGTAGAATGTGTAAAAAACAGATTTCTATTACATTTAATTACATAGGGATTTGTATTTCTCAGAATACATTGGAAATTTATCATCTTTCACACTAACATTTGAAGCAACGGAGTATAATTACCAAAGTTAACAGACTACAATGTCTTGTGAAAGAAACACCTCCATAGTACAAATAAGACATTACCTAAATCTTGATTACATATTTTGATATCCGTAAATGGAGCTTAAAGGAACTAATTCAGAATTAAACACACACACACAAAAAAAACTAGATAAAGCAAATCATCTTTAGTAGACTGAAACATCACTGTGCTGTAGTTCTCTTGGTATGCTATAAAGTTTACCAGTAACTAGAAGAAGGAACTTCTAAATAATTCAATATCTTATTTGTGTTATTTCTTTCTATTGCAGATCCTTATGTCAAAGTGAATCTGTACCATGTTAAGAAGAGAATTTCTAAAAAGAAAACCCATGTCAAGAAGTGTACCCCTAATGCCGTGTTCAATGAATTGTTTGTCTTTGACATTCCTTGTGAGAGCCTTGATGATATCAGCATTGAATTCTTGGTTTTAGATTCAGATAGAGGGTCAAGGAATGAGGTCATTGGTAGGTTAACCTTAGGATCTTCAGCAGAAGGAACAGGTGGAGAACACTGGAAAGAAATCTGTGAGTATCCTAGGAGACAAATTGCCAAATGGCATATGTTGTGTGACGGTTAGCAGCTCAGAGCAGAGTTAGAACTTGAAAAAAAACCTATATATATTTCCATAGGCAAGTAGCAGTTTTCTTTCTTTGCTATCCGTAATTGCAGGCTTGTAACTACGAGAGTTTTTTGGGGAAGGTGGGGAAATAAAAAACTGGATTGAATTATCAAAATAGAAGGTAACTAAATTTTCAGAGTAAATAAAGTAATTTATATTTCATTAGACTTTAACTTAATTGGATTAGATTAGTATTTTTCTGTAGTTTACATAGCCTAAAACGTCTGAAGCAGTATAATCTTCAACAAGAACAAACTAAGTCTTAGGAAGAAGTAACTAGAAACCTTATTAGTACTGTTATCCAGAAGAAGATAACCTCATTAAAGTATACTGCTAGATCAAAGAAAAAAAACTGCAGCTTAATCTATGATTCTACGATTATTCTGGGAAGGCGCTGAGTCTATAAACACAATGGGGATTGACAGTGAATAAGAGGGACATTATTTTTGTCCCTCTGTCATAAACCTTCTTTTATGAAAATTCAATCATTATTTGTATGTTTTGGTTATTTATACTTTGATCATTCCAAAGACTGAAGAAATTTTCAGTGACTTGCTTTAAATACTACATCAAGTGCAACTAGTTGTTTAACGTGTGGAAATACTGTTTAATTATCTACACTTGGATTTTTTAATATGTGTATATATATTCTGTTTTATTACAGTGACTAAAATAGACACATTCTATAAATCATCAAGTAAGTTAATGTATATTGTCTTGTCTAAAGGGCTCCTTTACGAGTGACTATATATGTTAGGAATTGGGATTAGGCATGGGTTACGTTTTTTCCTCTAAGAAGTATTAAACTTTTAGTATTTCATGCCAAGTGAAAGCACTTACCCTCAGACAAAGAAGCATACACGATACTACTGTCACTGATCTTTCGCTAATTATAGTTACATTTAATGTATTTCAATATCATTTAATGAAACACTATTTCTCCTTTTGATTTTTTCATTAAACGAAAAAGAGAAAGAAAATCATGAGACAGAGTATAAAATCTCATTCATTTGTTTAAATTCCTGAACTTATGTCACTACAGACCGAGACTGCTCCGAACAAACAAAGATTAATGCATTCTTAGACATTTCCAGTACAGGAAATCAAGTTAATGCTATGACTTAAACAGTATTTTGTTAGACAAAAGACTGGAAAAGTGCATTTCATTTAGATGACATGCATTAATGTCTACTACTGATTCCACTGAAAATTGGTGATAAAGGTGTCATGGCTTCATGTTTGCATGACACGTGTGTGCTTAAACTTAATTTGTGCCAGTCTCTGGGAGTATAAAGTATAAAAAAGATAGGTATATGTATAAAGGATCTAGGCTCATGAAATTCACTCTTGGTCATACCTAATACATATTTAGGCTGTCAGAACTGTTGCACAAATATAGGCAGTTATTTCCTAACATTTGTACACTGATTTCTGATATTGAAGTTTGAAAACATTGCTCAGATGTCATTTTTTATTACACTAAAGTAAACAGGAATATGATGATGTTACCTTATAACCACTGACATCTCATTTCAAAAGTGGAAAACAGCTTTCAGTATTCTAGCATACATCATTTTCTCACTTGTATTCCCACTGAAATGAATGAAACTATTTGGGAATTAATGTACCACACAATATATGGAAAAGTAACAGAAGGAGGATGGAATTTAAACAAACAAACAAAAAATGAATAAAAACAACCAAATAACAACAGCAACAACAATAACAAATCATGTTCAATGTTACATTAATCTCATTAAACAGAAAATTCAGATCTTATGAACAACTTTTGCCTATTTCTTATTGACTTTTCCCTGTTCTCACATGGCCAAATTATGTTTGCAGTAAAGGACACTGAAATATGAAATATGCAAGTAGAAAAATTACACTGAAAGGATTCTATTGAGGCTCTTTCAGATTTTGTGTGAGTAATTTCTTCAGTTTTTGAGAATGTGTTTAATATAACAGTGTTTATAAAGTTTGGTAAAAATTCATTTTCAAAATGACATAAACATGCTTTTTAAGATGATGCTCAATGTACAAAAAGAAAGTGTATTGTATGTATAAAGGAGAAAAATCTTTTTTTTTTTTTTTGCTTTTTTCTTTTATAAGCTGATTAACTTCTCAAGGGCTAGATTTGCCAATCTTGTTGAACAAAGTGTAATTCAAAGCCACGCAGTTGAAGCAATGATGCCCACAAGCTTCAATGAGGTTTGAAATGCAATCACAGAGTGAAACTCTTCCTATGAATCAAATTGGTACAATGAGGCTATGGACAGAGGGAGGTTTAATAGTGGCTGGAAGAATTTTAGACAGCATATGACTAGAGTTGTTAATATTTCTGGTAAGGACAGTACTTTATACTAAAAGTGATTGCATCAGAGGGATAAGACAGCCGGCAATTCAGTTGGTAAGTGAAATAAACAAATAAATAAAACGTAGGTCTTGTACACTGGCCCATTAGTAACACTATATCTCGGAAAATCAGATGACAGGAATCTCCAACAGACACAGATTCTGACAAGGAGAAAAAACCTGAACTTTTAAAGTTTATGATGGCCTACTAGCACTATTTATTTTCCATCTAACAAGTTGTTTTCAAAATTGTTTTAAACTTTTTAGAGAAACCTGAGGGTTAACATTTCTACTGGCTAAATGGCATTTGTTGGTAGGGCAAGGGGTAGGAACGGGAAAGGGAAGAAAAATATATATATATACTACATTGAAAGCAATGGGAAGTAAACTTTTTTTCATTTAATGTAATGTTTAGCTTGGAAAGTTGAGTAAGGAAGACTTGTTAAGAGTAAAGAAGACTTGTTAAGACAAGACAGGAGCAAATGAAGACCTGTCCCAAGATAAGAAATTCTGCTGTTTTATATTGCATTCAATTCGTATTGTGAATATCTTGAACTCTGTCAAGGATACTGTACTGTATTAAACATGTAAAAAAAAAAAGATGTTTGTCTAAGTAGTTTACAAAAATAACAACTCCTTAAATGGAGACTGGGGATCTGTAGTAACTAAATACCTTACTTGTTATGGTGTTGTAACTTAATAGAAGCTGTTCGAGAGGAAGCATGGTGTATGAGATTTTGTAAGTTATTTGTGCTGGTTCTGTATGTTGTGCCATGTGTGTAAGACAAGAATAAAGTGCTGCTTTTGTTCATCCCATCCCAGAACAATTATCCCATCAATGTATCTTTCCCAGAGACTTATTTGTTTTCACAGCCTACTCCTCTATGCTTCTGTCTAAAAGATTTGGGCATAAAGAGGATGAAAATCATTTTGCCAAATATTACCCAGGCTTATCACACGCCCTTTGTTTTTAAACTATTACTGCACATTTTCACTTGTCTTGAATTTTAACAAACACACAGGCTAGAACCTGAGATGCTATTGACCTTACTGGAAAATCTGAGCCTTATATAGGTACTTGAAGTACGGATCTAAACAAAGATGAAGTAAAATGCAAGACAGTTACTCTCAGAAACCTGTTGATGTTCTATTTGCTTTCCAGAAGTAAAAGTCACTTGGAAAATCACAAATATTCTTATTACCTTTTTTAGTAAAGTCAGGCACTACCCTGTCAGGTGAGAAAAACATTCAAATGTTATGTACAAATGCAAACTTTGTTACTGATATCTCCATGCTTATTAGGGTATTTTACCAGTGCAAATCTAAATCAAGGGGAGAGGGGAAGGGAAGGCAGTTGTATGTGAAATACACATTGCCTGGAAGGGATTGGTTATATTTGTCACAGAATGAAATATGTGAAAATTATGACTGGATCCACTGTCAAATGCATGATGCAGAACATCTTCTACATGTAGACTAGCAGAATCTCCCTGCCATCTTGCCTGTTCCCGAGGTATAAGTATCAAGTCTGACAGAATGTTCTTTCTCATTCTATGCAGTTACTCCTTTTTTTCTTCCTTGAAGTGTGCAGTTCTCCCCAGTTAATGATGATTTCAGTCGTATTTCAGACCTTTTATTCAGGACATGCATCATGAATGTTTTTAAAAATGTTTTCATTTTTATTTTATTTTTTAATTATTATTTAATATTATAATGCAGTTGAACCTTAGTCAGAAAGCTACTGCTCTGATCACTGTTTGTATCTCAATTTGTTGCAACAGAGAAGTCCAGTAAGTACTGAAGAGATTTCCTCTCCTTTACAATAGAACTGATTCTTCAGGTATAACACTATTTCACAGGACCCTTGTATTTATATAGCATAATGAATAGCAAGCAACATGCTACAAACACAGTAGCAATGCATAACCGTATCTTCTGAACAAGACAGGGAACTCATACAACTCCTCTGCTCATACAACTCCTCTGACTAGCTTCCTCTGTTGCTAAAACCTAAGCAAAAATCTTTAATAAAAACCTTTCCTGCTCTCATAGAGTTTTCCTTAATATCTTTTACACTCCATCACTAAACAGCATTTGTAACATGACACAGAACAGCATGGCAGCTGTGTCTGTACCTTCCAGCTTAGAAGCAAGAACCAAAGATAAGAAGTGGGAAGGAGGGGCTTGTTTCTTTGTTACACTATTGCTATTATATTTGTACTGTTATACTACTTTTGCTTGTGAGTATTTATAGTACATAATACTCAACTATAGAATATCTTCTGGTCATAGAAGGAAGAGCACTACCACCAGTGACATGATCAACTCTTGCAACATCCTTTGAAACTAAATCTGCTCCAGCTCCCAACAAGTAGTGTGAGGTTTGAGTAATCACCACTGAGGCCCTATGTCCCAGCACTACACATCAGAATCTTTTATAAGCTCAGAGTTACCCAGCATACATCTTCTGAAGTAATGCTCATGTAGCACTTTTGAAGCACAGCATTTTGGATTATGAGTAAAAAAAATAATAAAAAATTGGGATAGTGTTTCTGATATAATCTAATGACACGCTAAGAGATCTGGGGCTGTTCAGCCTGGAG